GTATTTTACAAAACAACCTTAAAGTTTGAGCTTTGAAAAGAAAGTTGTTGCTATTTTTTTAATCCGTAAAGAAAGTTCTTGCCATTCTTTGTTTTGTAAAGAAAGTTTTGTCATTTTCAAAAGTTTTTGTACACGTATATTTACTGCACTGTCACTTTATATATGTTATTTTCAATTATAGTATAGTAGTCTATACAATATATTAAACACATAGTTAACTATAATAAACCACATATAGTTTACCACAGTTAACTATGTGTTTAATATTTTGAATCAAATTACATGTTTGCCTCTCCTGTTTTAACATTATACTTTGACACTACTATACAGTCTCCAAATTTAGTAATTGTTAACTATACGTTTCCTAAACGTCTGGATGACAATATAGTTAACTGTGTAATAATTTCGCTTCTGCACTCTCTCATCTTTCTCTCTTGTCTCTCTCCCTTTCTTTTCTTGTTTACCCCCTCCCTCTCTCACTGTTCTGAATCTCTTCCTTCCTCTTCTCCTTCTTCCCCTCCCCTATTCTCTTCTTCTTTTCTATATACGGTCCTTCTCTCCCTTAACTATATGAAATTGATAACTATTCTAACGAAACGTTGTCATTTTGTAAAACCCGTAAAAACGTCATTTTAAACCTTGTTTTTGATACCTTCAAAGTCATAAAAAACGTCATTTTTACCCTTTTTTCGATAATTTTAGACATTTTTGATCGGACGCAGTAATCGATCATTACCTTAAGATCATTACCTTGTTCATCCTCACTCCTACCTCACGGCTTGGGCGTGGCGGAATTTAAGGAATGAGGAGAGGGGCGGGTTAAGCCCGAGGGCTTTTTCGAATGACCAGAACGTGAAAATCGAACGGATGAGTAATTTAGGCGTGGGTTCCTACCAAAATATTTAAAGACGAGCACAGTGGTGATCTTATTATTATTATGTAGCTGGGGGGGGAGGGGTGAAGAAGAAAGGGAAGAGGAGGGGGAGGGGGGGGGGAAGTAAAGAAGGAGGGGGGGGGGCGTGAAGAAGAGAGGGGTTAGAGGACAGTAGATTTTGATGTTTTTTGTTGGGCAGAGTAAATTTAAAAAAATATTGCTTCAAAGTTCTGGGTATGAGCACGGAATTTAGACGGGACATTTATTGGCAGTGTAAACGGGATGGTCAAAGATTGTGAAGAAAGTTTTTTGCCATTTTGTAATTTGTAAACAAAGTTCTTGTCATTTTTTGAATTGTAAAGAAAGTTCTTTCCAATATTTGACTTGCAAAGAAAGTTTTTGCCATTTTTTATTCTGTAAACAAAGTTCTTGCGGTTTTTTGTTTTTTAAAAAAATTTCTCGTTACTTGTTTTTTCTAAAAAAAAGTTTTTGCCATTTCATACTTTAAGGCTGTTTTATGTGCTCCGCAGCCTGCGGACGACAACTTATACGATGATACGTTTTTCAAACTTTTGCTTGTTTTGTAAAGAAAGTTCATGCTGTTTTTCGTTTTGTAAAGGAAGTTTTTGCTGTTTTATTCCTTGTTAAGAAATCCCTTGCCAGTTTCTGCTTTGTAAAACAAGTTCTTGCTTTTTTTTGCCTTTTAAAAATGTTTATTCTTTAAAAAAGAAAAGTGCATTTGACCTAAATCTCTCTACCCTACTGTAACAAACACGACTATAGTGAAACCTTGATATCTCAATATCACGTATGTAGTTTAAGATAGCCCACACGCTTCACTGAAGCCGAGAAAATGAATTGCAGAAAGGTTTTTGCACAAAGACCAATCAGAATCCGGGTTATCAATTCGGTAAACTTAACGCTCAGCTGATTATTGATGGTGATATACGTAAATCAAACCATAAAGTGTAGATACGTTTTCAGGTTGGGGGTTTTGGGAGAAAATGGCGTGGTTTGGAGTTGGGCATGGGTTTTTATTGGATTTTTGAAAATTTTTATATTTAGGCAAAAACTTTCTTTACAGAGCGAAAAATGGCAAGAACTTTCTTTACAGAACGAAAAATGGCAAAAACTTTCTTTACAAACCCAAAAATAGCAAGAACTTTCTTTATAAATTAAAAAATGACAAAAACTGACATCAAAGTGCCAGAAATTGCAAAAACTTTAAAAAAAATTTTTATCGTATGACTTTTCGCCCGCTTGCTGCGTAGCACTTAAATCAACTTTTCTGAGTTAAAATAGCAAGGACTTTCTTTTTTGATTAAATAATGGCAAGAACTTTCTTTACATAACAAAAAATTGCAAAAACTTTCTTTACAAAACTAAAAATTGCAAGAACCTTGTTCCAAAAAAAATTTTTTTTAAAATTATTTAAGTTTTCAAAAAAATTTTTAAAATTTTACAAGACAATGAAGTTGTGGACTTTACAACCTAGCCTTTATCAGCTATGTTGTAAAAAATGTGGTCATGTAATACGACAAGCGCTTAACCGAACACGACATATCATTGTTCATTTCGGAACACTTTTTATTGTTCTTTAACAATGACTAATCGGAAACAACAAAATTGGAAAGCAGTCTACTTTATGGTGTGATAGGAAGGGTGAGGTAGATAGATGACTACTTACTTTTCCGTTACAGTACATAAAGGGTGTAATCTTTTCGAATTTCGAAAGTTTGCAAAACAATTAGCTATTGGTTTGTTATGGTAGATAAAATGTGGTAGAATGATGACTGTTGTTTTTGGGTGTGGACATTGAAGGAGTGATTGGGCAGAAGAAGGGGTAGGGAAAGAGGCCCGGATAGGGAGAGGGGAAGAGGGCAGAGTAAACGGAGGGGTAGGGTATAGCAAAATAGACAGGTAAAGACAGAATAAAAAAAGGTTTGACGAAGGGTAAGGGCATAACGAGGTGGAAGGGTAAAGAGCGGGGTGGAGAGCGAAAACGTGTTTTATCGTATAACTTGTCATCCGCGCGCTGCACAATTCAGAAACTTGCAGTTTTAATGAAAATTTTATAAAGATATATTTGAAAATGGCAAGAACTTTCTTTACAAACTAAAAAATGGCAAAAAGTTTCTTTACAAAATGCAGAATGGCAAGAACTTTCTTTACAAAACAGAAAATGAAAAGAAATTTCTATGCAATATAAAAAATGGCAAGAACTTTCTTTACAAGCCAAAAAAGACCAAGTGCTTTCATTTCGGAAGATTCACAACCTTGACATTGGCTTTGTAAAGAAAGTTCTTGCCATTTTTTGCACGTTTTTTATAAAATACGACAACTTTTCTATTATTTTTTGAAACCTTATGACGTTCTTAAATTTTTAAAATGTCACGCTTATTTTTTTTATAAATAGACCTAGTCTTACTTTATATTTCCGCCTAAAGTGCTATCTATTGACGGAAGACCTGACAGATGGTTCGGTTTGTCATCAAAACAGTAAATTAGTTTTTTGTTAACTATGACGGCAACAAAAAGCAACGGAAATGTTTATTACAATTGTAATAAACACTTCCGATACCCATACCAATTGGGGGTTAATAAGCTAACGCAACTAAATTTGTAATAAAAACGTTATTTTTGGTTTTTAAAGGTGTATATATGACATGGGTGGTAGTACAGCAATATAAGGTAGTACCAGTTTGGGAGTGTTCTGTAGGGTCTTCAGTAGCTCAAAAAACGACTGGCAAGGACGATAGTGGGCGGTTATAAAAAAGTAAGGGCACACATGTATAAAGTGTAAAGAGTAAGGCCGCGTAAGAAACAGAAGATAGTACCAATACAGTAAGAAGTAGTTAGGGTACTACTACATAAGATGTAAGATTGATTACGGTAAAGAACGGCATACGGTACATTAAGGGATGGAGTAGAGTATAATGACAGACTACGGTAAGGCTATGGTAAAGCAGAGTAAGGCAAGAGAAGGCTGTGGTAGGGTAGGGCAGGTTAATGTAGGGTAGGGTAGGGTAGGGTAAAGATTTTTTTGCAAATTAAAAAAATTACGGTTGGACTTTAAAGCCGCGAAAGTTTAATTGGAAGGTCATTTTAACACGTTTGTTATCAGTCGACATGTAGTTTGATAAAATAGCTCTAAACTGTGATCATCAACGTTATTAATTAGCGGTGGCCTTATTTGCAAAAAAATGTTTTTGAATCCCCGGCTATTATTACACAGTGCATTTTAAACCCCTTTATAACGAAACCTCTTCATACCGAAGTTTTATAAGATGCAATGTAGCGCGAAGCGTATTTTTCAATAAAGCTAACATGTTTGCTGTTTTTTGTTTTGTAAAGAAAGTTCTTGCCATTTTATGTTTTGTAAACAAATTTCTTGAAAATTTTTGTTTTGTAAAGAAAGTTTCTACCATTTTCTGTATTGTAAACAAAGTTTTTGCTGTCTAGTCAGCTGAAGTCAAATTCAAAAAATTAAAAAAAATTCTAATTATAATTCGTATGAGATGTAATAGTTAGTGACACGATGTTACCCGGAACACTCGGTTCATTATCTAAAACATCACGTGGAGTTTAACAATTTTGGTACAGAAACGTGACCTTACTGTGCGGTAAATGACGGATGTTATTATCGGTTTTGCAGGTTGGAGAAGTTAGTTATATTTGGAGTTGTTGATGGTTTATAAGGTGTTTTAATGATCTTGATGATTTTTTGTTTTTGTAAAGAAAGTTCTTGCCATTTTTTTGGTTTGTAAAGAAAGTTCTTGCCATTTTTTGCTTTATAAAGAAAGTTTTTACTAGTTAATAGACAAAAATTATTTTTTTTCTAGTGCAGGTTGCGGGTGACACCTTACACGATGAAAAATGTTTTCAATATTGTTTTTTTGGTGTCTTGCTTAATTTTTGTCATTTGTAAACAAAGTTTTTGCTTTTTTAATACTTTTTTTCTCAACTTTTGGTTTATTTGTAAACAAAGTTTTTGCGTGTTAACATAACCAGCTTTATTTTTTGCGAGTTTTTCAACGAAAGTTTGTTTAGACGTATTTTACTATATTAAAATCGCTTCTTTTTCAGATAAAAAGCATAAAATTTAATTATGATTCTGCGAGTTTGGATGTTGATCTTGTTGATTCTGTCGACAATTGTTTGTTCTGAAGCCTACCGTAAAGGCTACATGCTACGAAAGGGCTCCAAGTTGGAGAAACAACATCGAAGAAGCCTACACGAGTGGCGAAAGGCACACAAACATAAACATCATAGAAAGTAAGTTGTAATACTGTATTTTATAAAAACGCACGCATTTTCACCAAAAGTATTTTTTTTAATTTTAAAATGTTTAAGGACTATTTTTTGAGTAAGCATCGTATAACATGTCACTCGCAGACTGCAAAGCTATGTTTTAAAACAATACTTTTCGTAAAGTTGAAAAATGGTTTTATACTTGGAAATAGCAAGAACTTTCTTTACAAAACAAAAAATGGCAAGAACTTTCTTTACAAAACAATGAATGACAAGAACTTTCTTTACATAGAATTTGATCTAATTATATTTATTCCAGACGCCAATCAATGGAATTTGAAGAACTTTTAATGAAGATGGACTCTTTTATTCGTCCTCGATTTGGCTAAACATATCATGTAATATTATCAAAACATGGTACTATAACTAAGCATATCTTAAACTGATCTTCACTGGTTTACTTCATTACTACCGTATTGGTTATCAAACTGTAATCAAACAATTATTTTTTTAGTAATATTGATATTGAGTTTTTTTTTCATTTACGTATCTTTAAGTAGCTTTAACTTTCTACTATGGTATTATTGTTCCATCAAATCGTATGTAGTTCACAATCTAAACATTGAACGTCTTTCACAGTACAAGTTGTAAAATATCAACAGCAATTTTCTCTTTTCTTTTTTCTTCGTAGCCTTTTATTCATGTATTTGTTTCTATCCATTAACTAATTTTATAACTATATATTGTATTTGGCTTGTAAATTTATTGTCATGATTGTTTGTATATAAGGAAAATAAAGATTGTATAATATAATACCTTTAAAAATATTTATTTTTAATTTTTTTGTAAAATACGTGAAAAAAATAACGTTTTACATTAGATGAATCTTCAATATAAAGTGACTTTGTTCAAAATAGAATTGAAGATTTCAGTGAAACTTCAACAGACAAAGCATAAATATATGAGACTTACAATGAAAGTACCGAACCTGCAACTCTCGGAATTAGCTCAAAATTTTTATACGAATTTTTTTAGTACCAGTAGTACATATAAAAACTCTTAGCTTAATCTTTTAAGTTTTAAAATTAATATATTTTAATTTCCCGCTAAGTTGGCAAATTTGGCATTGTGTTGCAAGAACTTTTTAAGGTTTTCCAGATAAAATAAGCACACAAATATAAAATTTCAAGTTTATTTGAAGCTTTTCTGTCATTATACTAAAGAAAAATTGTTAAAAGTCAAAAAATGACAAAGTTAAAACCTTGAAACACTATGCCAATTTGGCGGGATATTCAAAACGCGATTTTCGATTTTCTCAAGTCTGGCTGTAAACCGCAACTTAATTATTTTAATTGTTTACAATCATACTACTAACTATACGTTTCCTATATTACCAATATTCTTTTAACTAAACATAAAGATTCAAGCTAATTAACCATGTAACTTTTGTCACATAGTATATAATTACCGGTTCAAAAACAGTTTATCACATAAAAATTACAAAAAAAATACAAAATTGTTACGTGGTAAACAGTGTTTTTTACTATATCATGACATTCTTTATTGATCAATTACTATATTGACCATTACCTGTCGCGCTAACCAGTTCCTTAACTATAACTGTTACTATGACAAAAACGTTGCGCAAAAATTTAAAAAAGCAGTGTAAAATTGTTATTATTAGTAACTAAAAGTTTTTAAAAGTTTAATTTTTAACTTTTTAAAACTTTTTTTTAAATTTTATATTAAAAAGCGATTACAACTGATTTTTGATTATTAAAACTTAGAGAATAATCACGAATTTGAATTAGTCTCTCTATATAATGAATCATCTGTATAAGCAACTCTTTTTATGTGAACAAGAAATTTGGCCCGCCAAGTCAATTTGCACTAAGAAGCCTCTCTGTAAAGACAACAACCCCTATAGTAAACACAAAATGTCAGTCTAGTTATGTTGCTTATATAGAAATAAAGGAAGGGCATGAGTAAGTATGGTAAGGCTAAAGCTGTTTTTATTTTAATATACTGTCTCTCTATATAGTGAACTATCTTTATAAGCAACTCTTCTTATACAGTACTCTCTCTATATAAGAAACCCAAAGGAACCGACATTTTGTGTTTACTATAAGGAGTGTTGCCTTTACAGATGGTTAGCTATATAGAGAGACCACTGTAGTAAACAAGAAATTTGGCCATGCCAAGTTAATTAGCACTAAAAAGTCTCTCTGTGTAGAAAACATCCCCTATAGTAAACACAAAATGTCGGTCCCTTTGGGTTGTTTATGTATATAGAGAGAGTACTGTATCACCATAGAACACTCAAAGACATAAATGTAAGGCCGTTTTCTTCAAGTATACTTTAACTTATGCATAACAATATAAACATTCAAATTATTAACCGACGTTTACATGATCGCATATTTTACAACAAACTTTATTTACAATTTTTCTTTCTTACAGAGTAAAAATGGAAATGTAAAAAACAATTAGCGAGAGCTATTTTTTAAGTTGTTATTGTCCTTAATTGTATAATTAGGTAATAGGAAGAGCTGTCTGATTCGAAATGACACAAAACACGGGTCGGCTAATTGACGGCCATAGCAAACTCTGAAAATGGCAAAAATTATTGTGATTTACATTAATTTTGGAAGTAAATATTTACTTTTACAGTAGGGTTTAGACATGGAATTGTCGTGAATATGACAGAGACATTACTGTAGAGAAACTTTACAGTAAGATTTTGCAAAAATTTCAAAAAAAATAAAAAAAATTTAAAAAAAATTGTTAATTTTAAAATTTTTAAAAAATTTCAAAAATTGCAAAAAAAACTTAAAAAATCTTAAAAACCTTACCTTCAAAGCTTATTTTGCCATCACCATCAACATCAGCTTCTCTGAACAACTTGTCAATGACACTTTTGGGGAAAAACCGACCCAGCGCCAACTCTTTCACAATTTGTGTCATCTCTTCTCTTTCAATAAAGCCATCGTTGTCCTAAAGTTTTATTATGATTAGAAATGACAAGAACTTTCTTTAAAAACCAAAAATTGCAAAAACTTTCTTTACAAAACAAAAAATCGCAAGAGCTTTCCTTACAAAACCAAAAATGGCGAAAACTTTCTTTACAAAACAAGTGAAGGCATATAAGCCCAAACAATAAAAATAAGTCCAATTTAGATTTGTCACCTACCCGGTCGAACATCCTGAACTGATCCCACAACTGCTGATTGTCGTATTTTAGTCGGCGGTCTTGATTTTCCATTAACGTGGTGAACTCGTCAAAGGTTATTACTCCGTTTCCTAGAAGTATTAATTTTTTTGTTTTGTAATGAAAGTTTTTGCGATTTCTTAGTTTGTAAAGAAAGTTCTTGCCGTTTTTTGTTTTGTAAAGAAAATTTTTGCCATTTTTACATTAAAAGTGCGATTTTGTAAAATACGACAAGAATATATTTTCTGCAGCATGAAGATGAAATGTTATACGAGGAAACCTATTTTAAGACAAAAAACCAAGAAATTTTCTTTTCAAAAAAAGTTCTCTTTTTTTTGTTTTGTAAATAAAGTTTTAGCAAATTTTTGTTTTGTAAAGAAAGTTTTCGCCATTTCTTGTTTTGTAAAGAAAGTTTTTGTTATTTTTAATTTTGTAAAGAAAGTTTTTGCTATTTCTTGTTTTGTAAACAAAGTTCTTGCCATTGTGACATTAAAAGTGCGTTTTGCAAAATACGACAAAGAATAGTTATTGCTATCTTTTGTTATGTAAAGAATGCTTTTTTCATATCCCTTCTTGTAAAAAAAGTTTCTTCCATATTACGTAATGCTATCTAAAATAAAAAAAGCAAATTAAAATGCATTAAAAATAGTTTGTCTTCTTAACTTTTCCTGACGTCAAACCTTATCTAAAACTGTTTGAAAAACGTTTTTTGGTTATTTTTCAATTTCTGATTATCCCACGCTCTTCTGGGATTTCTTTTCACGGAATTTGTTTTTATAAAGGCCATGACCTTTATGACTTTTCACAGTTCGAAAAATACATTTTTACGCATTTAAAAAAGTGTAAGTGTGTAAAATTATTTGGACATGAACTTTGAGGTAAATAGAATGGCATAAAATGGTTTTTTGCACCTAAATTTTTGAAATTTAAAAAATAGCAAGAAATTTCTTTACAAGGCAAAAAATGGGAGAACCTTCTTTACAAGGCAAAAAATTATGAGAACTTTTTTACAACACAAAAAATTAAAAAAAATTTTTTTTAAGAAAAGTTTCGTAACTTACCATCCCTGTCTCCTTCGCTCATAACCAACGTCAGCTCGAGCTTTGATGGGTAGACCCCACACTTGTTCATTGCTAATTCTAATTCCTCGGCTGTTATGTAACCATCGTGATTTGCATCGAAGAATTGAAAAGCTTTTTTGAATTCTGAAAAATTTGGAATTAAAAATCTTTGACAATAAAAAGAGATAATTTTAAAATTTTTGTATTAATGTTTATGCCTTGCCTTGCCTTGCCTTGTCTTGCCTATAACTTATTTTACTTGCCTATAACTTATTTTGTCTTGCCTTGTCTTGTCTTGCCTTGCCTTGCCTTGCCATACCTACCCTATTATAATTTACTTTACTCTATACTACGCTATCATACTTTGCCTCACTCTATCCTACCCAAACTTGCCTTACCCTAACTATACTTAAATTTCTATCCTGCCCAATAAAAGTTGCCATCCTATTATTGGGTGACAACTTTTGTAGGTACCTAACGTACCGTAGAATACCCTCGTCCTGCTATTGCCTAGGGGCGACTATCAAACCAGTTTGGTCTTACACCAAGACAGGGACTATATGTAGCTGCCGGGACAGGACCAAATTCGAAAACTCACCGGACTGATAGCCACTTCTACACTCGCTTTGCATTAGGCGCGTTTTTGCCCTACCTTTTTTTATCGTGCTTTTCTATTTATGAATTTTAAAAAATTTGAGTTTTCAAAAAATTTTTTTTTAATTTATCAACAATATTTATATATTTGCAAACACTTCTGCAACTTCAAAAAAACTGTAATCTGACTGCGAAAAGTTGCGTCGAACGCTTGAGTTGCTGCGAATAAAGGGCCGCTTCTTGCTCGTTTTTTCTTTGTGGTCGGTTTTAGACCAATACTAATCGAATTGACAGCTTTGTGACGTTACAACTTCCTTATTAAGTTTGAAATGGCCATTTCTGGGCAATTACAATGTAAAAAGTTGTCAAATTCAGAAGGAAGTAATAAATATTAACATAAGTGCGTGTATGCTTTTTTTGGATTTTAAAAACGCAAGAACTTTGTTGACAAGTCTAGAGTGGCTTTCTTTACAAAACAAGAAATGGCAAAAACTTTCTTTACAAAACAAGAAATGGCAAGAACTTTCTTTACAAAACAAAAAATGGCAAGAATTTTCTTTTGAAGGCAAGAAATGGCAAGAACTTTCTTTACAGAGCAAAAGTGGCAAGAACTTTCTTTACAATATTTAAAATGACAAAAACTTTCTTTACAAAACAAAATATGGCAAGAACTTTCTTTACAAAACAAAAATGGTCAACTTTAGTTTTTCTTATACCAAAATCAAATGTACTAAAAGGACCAATTTCATGACCATATCTTGACGTATGTACTATTTACTTTCCTTATAACCTATTGTTTTCATAATCGAACGTCGTCAACGTGGGAAATTATAGACCATTTCTTATGAAGCACGTTATTATACCGTTCGTTTTTTGTTTTTTCAAAAATTATGGTTATCATAACATGGCATTTGAAGCAGTCGACATACAAACAAAAAAAATTTTTTTTAATTTTAAATTGTAATAGTAAATGTTTTGTCAAGAAAGCTAAAAAAAGAATAAAAAACTTTAAAAAATTATTTTTCTTACCATCATATTCGGCAGGTGTACATCTTCTGAGCTGCTGAGGGTTTTGATTCTGGTTTTGGCGATGAATATTGTTCTAAAATAATTTTTATTAACCTATAGTACTTCTAAAAAGGTTTATATAGGAGTTTTATTGTACTTTTTAAAATTTTTTGAAAAATTTTATTTTAATTTAAAAAGAGAATTACCGTGCCGTATTTTACATGTAGGCAAAACCCCCTTTATTATGATCTTTGATAGTAAAAAAATTGGTTTTTAAAATTTTAAGCTTGAACAAGGAATTTATTAAGTGCCGCAAAAAAACCCCGCCGTACTTTTCCTGTAATTTCCTGTTAAAAATAGCGGGTCGTTTATGTCTGCACCTATAATAATAAAAGCCATAGTCAATTTTGGGGGCGCTGGGGGAAAGGGGTAAACGGGGGGGCACATCCAGAAAAAATTTTCGAAAAAAGTTGAACTTGGTCCTCCCTATGAATTTAAAAAAAAATGTTTTTGACCCCCGCTCTTAGTCCAAAAGTCCCTGCCCGGCCCTGGCCATAGTTAGAAAATTTGATAATAAATGAAATTTGGACGTAAAAAAACCCCGCTACAGCAAACGATTAATTCCCTTGCGTTATGTCTTACCGGCAATTCACTATATAAAGATTTTATAAACTTACCATAACTGTAGAGTAATATGTGGTAAATTGAAAAAAACTTCAAATCTGAAAAAAAAGTATTTTATATTTTAATCAAAGAAGAATATCACATAAAAAAGAAGTAAAAGCAAACGTATTTTACATTTTTCACAAAGTTAGTTCGGCTTTAAAAGGCGGGTTAAACCTGTATCCTCCTAAACCTCAATGACCGGACAAAATTACTATTCGTCTGTTTTAAACCATCTTTCTTTCCTCTCCCCATTCCCCTTTTTCTTCAAAACATCTACAGTGGTCTCTCTATATAGTGAACCATCTGTATAAGCAACTCTCCTTATAGTAGTAAACAAAAAATTTGGTCCCGCCAATTCAATTTGCACTAAAAAGACTCTCTGTAAAGACAACACCCCTTATAATAAACACAAAATGTCGGCCCCTGCGAGTTGCTTATATAGAGAGAGTACTGAATAACCCTCCTCAAAACATTTATAATCTTTTGCAATTGTTAGCGGAAAAACAATAATGATTAGGCCGGAAGGCGTCTTCTGAAGTCACCTTCCGGCGACTTCACAGTAAAACGCGTTTGGGCCGAAAAAAGCAATCTTTCCCCCACCAATTTTTGCCCTCACGGCACGCCCATTTTTCGTGAATTGAAACAGATAACAAATTCATGCTTCATGAAACAATAAATGCACGCTCTTTATGATAATACTTCCACACCTCGATGTGGGGCGAGCACAGAACGTGCTGAACGTATTTGAAATTAAGCAAAAACACGGTGGCATTGTTTTATATCGTACGTACTTTGGTGCAATAGACATAAATTTACAAATAGTTAGTAAATTATAACATATAAACTTTTTAAAATTTGAAGTAAAACTTTTAAAAAAAGTTTTTTTTTGTTTTTAGAAGGCTAAAACAATATGCTTTATGTTGCCTTTTCCAAAACATAAATAGGTTTTGTTTGCTCACATAAAATTAAATGTTAAAACAACACTTTTTGTCACCAAAGATCCACCCCCGAGAAAACAAAAATAATATTTGAGTTTACTATGAAAAGACCTGCCTTGCCCTTCTCTACCCCGTTTTGGCTGTGACTCTAAACTTAAATCTAGGTCTGACTCTGGCTCTGCCCTACCCTGCTTGCTCTCTTAGCCGTGTCTTAAGCCCAAAGCTTTATTCTTAGTCTTACTTGAACCTGGATCTGGCTCTGGCTCTAGCTCTAGATTTGGATCTGAATCTAGATCGATATGGATTTGAATCTGGATTTGGACTTGGATCTGGATCTGGCTTTGGCTCTACTTCTAGTTCTAGATCTAACTCTGGCTATGGCTCTGGCTCTGGCTCTACCTGTGGCTCTGGATCTGGATTTGGACCCGGCTCTGACTTTGGTTCTGGCTCTGGCTTCTTAGTCTAGCTTTTAGCCAAAGCTTTTGCCTAAGTCTTACAGTTAGACCTAATCTTGTCTTATCATTATTTTACTTTTGACAAATCTTTCTCATACTTTTTTTCTACTATGCCTTACTGTAAATTTACTTTATCCTATATGTAGTATCCACTGTTTCTCCTCGTTTTCTATCTTACATTACACAAGCTCTGCTTAGCTCTTATTAAAAAACATCCATCACATACTAGCTATGCTTAGTGACAATATGTTACAATTTTACTTCCAAACTTTTTCGCACAATTTGTGACATACTCAAGTACCGAACAACTAATTACCTCTATATAAAAAAGGTCAGCGGCGTCTAGCATTTATGCTTTTGCTTAATTTATTAGATTTGATGTGGCATAAATAAACGTTCAATATTATTTATCACCACTGCTTTGGCATTTTAGCTACGGCTCGAATTCTAAGCAAAAGATAAAGCCCAGAAGCCACATATGTTGAAGCTTTTAAATCTATTAATAAAATGAAAGTTAAAACTGAACATACACCGAATGGTAATATTATATTACGGTAATCTTTTTTTAAACAAATATTTTTAAAAAATGTAAAAAAAATGTTTTAAAAATAAGAGTTTTTAATATTACTGATAGAGGTAGACATGAATCACACTGTGCAGAGACAATGACGTCTTTATATAGGTTTGAAGCTAATTTCCTTACAAAAACAACCGCTTACTCACACTTTTGTTTTGTTGTCAACAAGCATTCTTTACTTTATTTGTAAAAAAGCAAGATAATATACTTTTTAATTCGACTCGTGCTACTAAAGAATATATTTATTATAAAATCGTGTACAATACGACATGCCAAATTAATATTATATCCATATTAAATATTCTACCTTAAAATCCTTTTTACAATTTCGCAAGTCTTTCGTTCCGAGACCCATGATAAGGTTTTGGGGTAAACTTGAAAAGATTCTATCTCAAAGATATTGCTGAAAAAAAGGTCTACCCTATCTCGCCCTTTAAAACTCGTTTTAGTCGCCCTGACCTGACCCAGAGCCTTGCCTAACCAAAGCCTGACCAAGCTTAGAAAATTCTCTTACAGCTCTAATTCTCAACCTTATTCTAGTTTTTTTTCAACTCTACTAATTCTATTTGAACGCTAACTCTATTGTAGCCTTGCACTGGCAGGCCACAATGAATCTATTTAGTCATATCCAACTGTTAACGCAACCTTATATTACTTCTTACAAGTAAAGTAAAGTAAAGTACTCAAATCTTCCTTACTTTTTGTTATTTTGCAAATTTAAGGTAAATTTAGTTTAGTCTCAACTTCTTCATTCTTTACCCGCTAAAGTCTAGCCTCCGTTCAACCCTACTTTAACATAAAAAACAAAAAAAAACACGATAAAACTTGAAACAATTTCTAAATTTCTGTATTTATACTAGTCTCAATAGGTGGTCTTTTCCACATTTTCAATTCCAAATCAGCTTTGATAGTGTAAAACAACCGTTCAATCAGATGAGTAGATCATGTTTGTTTAAAGTCTTATTGCACACTTTGAACTTCGACTGAATTTTGTAAAGAACGGCATCTTTAAAACGTTGTTTTGTTTCACTTGCTGTTTATTTGTGTTACACAACAGTATTAACTCTTTCCTTCTTATAAGAAGGTAATAGGCTTTTATACAACTGTAAAATCATGACGGTTCTTGGTCATTGATCGGACCAAGTTCTAGAAGATTCTTTTTTGCTTTGAAGTGCATAAAGTGTTCTGTGTCAAGGTTCAAGAAGGGTAAGGCTTAAGATATAGAAAGACCTAAGTATTAGCTCTAATTTAAATAATTCTGTGCCCTTTTTCAAAACAAATTTTTAGAGTTAAGCACTTTTTTTGACATTTTAAGGGTAGACCAACGGCCCAATTATGAGAAACGTCAGACCCAAGATATAGGGATAAGGCTACGCCTGGGTGCAAGCAACAAGTAAGGCTACGGAGTGCTGGGGTCTTTACTAGATAGGGTTAGGAAAAGTAATGGCAACATTACAGGGTAGAGTAGGGTAGGGTAGGGTAGGGTAGGGTAGGGTAAGGTAGGGTAGGGTAGGGTAGGGTAGGGTAGGGTAGGGTAGGGTAGGGTAGGGTAGGGTAGGGTAAGGTAAAAAATATTTTAAAAAACGCTTTGCTTCTTCTTTATACTTACTGAACATGATTGTTTTACCTTATCTTTTTATGTTCTACTGTGTCAAGGATATAAAAGCTGTGTTGCGTAACAAAATGTCGTTCTTTTTAATGCGGAACCGACATAAAAACACAAAGGAAGAACTTTCATCGATGAGGAGAAAATAAGTTAATTGTGACTACTTTTAAGACTAAAATTTGTTTTTGAAGCTACGAGACTGTCTTTAAAAACCTAAAACAATAATTTTTTTAATTGAAAAAGTAGTGTTTTTTAACCTAAATTTAAATATCTAAATATTAAATTCAAAATGTTGTTGGTAAAAGTGATATTTGTTACTATAATTGTAATGGTCAAATTGTTGGTTCTGGAAGCATTGGACATGAACAAGTTCATCATGATGAATCAGAAATTGTGTAAGTTGACGTAAGTTATGTAGGGTAGGGTAAAGTAGGGTAGCGTAGGGTAAGCCAGGTTTAAGAGGAAATAAGGAGAGGGGCAAAGAAAGAAGGGTGAGAAGAAAAAATTTGAAAAAATTCTGGTTTTGTTGTTAATTTTTATTTATGTATTATACTAGGCTGAACCAAAGATAACGGGACACTTTTGGTTGAAAAGTAAATTAAAAGTGAAGTTTGGTTCAACCTAATAATTTTCCTTACAAAGTAAATTTTCGTATTTTACCACAGATTATAGGTATCGCGACTAAGTAATAGCAATTTTTCAAAAATAGCTTTTAGATAATGTATTTTGGCAATTTTCAGGCGGCAACCCCTTTGCTGAAGCCCAATGGATACCAGTGTTAGACATGTGTGAGATCGAATGTAAAGAAGATGAACTTTGTGTGGAAAACGATGAGCTACAACAACGATGCACTAAGTGTAAGTGAGACTAGAGTCGAATCTTTGGAATGTTTTTAATTTTTTTGAAATAAATTTGTTTTACGTATTTTACTAAAAGTAAAAATTTTTATAACAATATTTTAGTACCAACCGAATGTGTAGAAGCCTACCACAATCAATTAGAAAAGAAAAAAGAATCTCAAGACGATGGAATGATCTTGGAACCGCTACGCCGACGACTTTTACAGACAGGTGTCAGTAAATAAATAAATATAATTTATATTCTCATTGAACTCAATCTTTTTTTTAATCTTTGTACCAAAATTTTTTTAGTATGATATTTAAGGGTAGACTTTTAAAGAGGCATACCAAAATTTAACTTCATTAAAAATGCCTTGCGATTGTTAGAACTGCACGATCCCGTCCTTTAGGGTAGGCCTTTGCTATACAATAGCTATTGCAGGTAAACTGTGGGCAGGGCCGGGCGCGAGGGAGGGGGGGGGGACGGGGGGGGAAGGGTACCCCCCCCCTCCCCAAAAAAAATTTTTTTGAAAAAAGTTGTACGTGGTCCCCCCTGTGAATTTTTGGACCTCTGCCCCCAGACCAAAAGTCCCCGCCCGTCCCTGACTGTGGGTACTAAACTACATAAAAATAATATTAAATTAATAATATTTTATTCATTTTCAAACACCAACATATATATATACATGATATTAAAGTAATACCAATATACTAAACAAGATCAAAAAATTGATTAATCAAAACAGGCTTTGTAAAATACAAAATATTAAAATATTATATCCGAAAAAGAAGCTTTATAACAACAAAAATATAGTACCTAATATTTTTTTTAATGTATTGCACTTACAGTAGTATAGAGATATTACTAAAAACATTAGAACAATATGTAATTAGACAAACAAGACATGTTTTTCAAGTTTCAACGGCTCTTCAACCTGTGTTGAACCTGTCCGCAACATTCCATTCGTTGATAATCGACCGTTCCTACAAGCTCTAAAAGCAAGAAATTTAAAAAACATCGAAATATATATACAATAAAATTTACACTAGTAAGAGCAAACCGCCAAAACCAAGGTTACTTCTAAGGCCAGGATAGAGCTAAAACATAAAAAACAACAAACTAAATTAAAGCTAGCGTTCGGCTAAATAAGACTATTGTAACGGCTAAATAGATTAAAACCGAACTAATAATTGTAAGGCAAAGTTAGTTAAAAGCTAGAGTTACGCTAGGGCAAGTTAGGATAAAGCAGTTTAAACAATATGGTAAATTATAGGGTAGAACAAGTATAAGGTCAAACCTAAAATAGAGTAGGGTAAATATTTTACTTTTTTGTAAAAATTGTTATTCAAAATTCATTAACTCAATCTACAGTTATAACAAAAACTCCAAACTAGTTAGTTGTTCTTACTGGTTTTACACTAAAAAGATCAGATTGAGCATTGACAGAGTTATAAGTTTAGACCAGCATTTAGTACCTGTTATACGTACATTGGCTGACCATGCTGTAAGCTTAAAAATATAAATAATAAGAAAAACTTGAAGTATACAAGCCTAAAATAATTTTTAAAAAGTAAAAACTTACTCATACCGTTGCCGAACATGCTCTTCCAACTGTTGAAACACCTTTTTCTCTCGTCTAAAAATGAAAATTAAAAAAATAGTATAGTGGAACTAGTATAGGTTGTTCAAATGGTTTTGTGCCCTCTTTCTAAGCATTTGTTTGGAGTTAAAGGGCACAGAATTATTTAAACTAGTGTTCTCAGCGGGAGGGGGATTTTTTCATCCCCGCAGGCTGGGAATCTCGCAATTTTCGAAAAAAAACGTCCCCGCGGAAATTCCCCCTCCTCAATCGTGCCAAAATAAAATCAAGGCTTGGCCCATTCCTCATGTATAGTTTTATAATTTTATTATAAAGTTGTTTGCATTAACTTACCGTCGACTCAAATGCCACATCCTTAACCATGCCATGAAGCCACACAATGAAAATACGGCTGCTGGCAGTACAAAACAAGCAATAACTAACCACATACTCATTTTCGACAATGAAAGTTAGTACCGCTTAGAAGTCCTATACCATCACCATTTTAGTCACAAGGACGTTATTTCTCCAGTACCTAAAACAAAGAAAAATTATAATATTTAGCGAGAAAAACTAAAAATATGTACAAAGTATAATAAAATACGACACATGCAATATAAAAAAAAAATTTCTTGTATAATAATCCTGAGCCATCATTATAAATATAGCAACAGTAAAAAAAATAAAAACAGTTTTAATATGACATTATTTTCAACAAAAACCCACTCCCACTCTCCCTTTAAAGACAATAAATTTCAGTGAAAAGCCATGAAATCTGTGTACTTTTTGGCTAAACCACTTACTTAAATCTCCTACTATTTATGAGCAAACAAAGCTGAGACTAGTACGTTTTAGAGAGAAAAGTACAAAGTAAATAAGGTTTACATAATATATTAAAAGTCAGTTTTTTACATATTTACAGTTTTTTATACTCTACCCTACCCTACCCTACCCTACCCTACCCTACCCTACCCTACCCTACCCTACCCTACCCTACCCTACCCTACCCTACCCTACCCTACCCTACCCTACCCTACCCTACCCTACCCTACCCTACCCTACCCTACCCTACCCTACCCTACCCTACCCTACCCTACACTACCCTACCCTACCCTACCCTACCCTACCCTACCCTACCCTACCCTACCCTACCCTACCCTACCCTACCCTACCCTTGATAAAACCCTCAGCGCTTCGTTGTCTTACCTTATATCTAGTACTTGCCTTAGGTCTACCGAGCCATATCTCAACCCTAAAGCGGTTCTGTCTTTTTCCAAAAAGTACTTTAAACAGTTCAAAAGCCCTCAAAACTAGATGTAAAACCAAATGTAATCAAAATAGCAACAATCTGCATAAGTTTAACGAATCTCGTTTGAAATCAGAAATTTCGACGGCCCAAAAAGCCTCAGGCGTTTTTCTTTGTGTAAAAGCTCGTAAAAAATGTAATCAAATTTGGATGGGGATTTTGAATAAACCAAAAATAAAAAAGAGTTAAATTAGCACGTTAAAGTGCATGTTGTTTGAAACAGGCAAAAAATATATTTTTAGGTATAGCGTTATGCCATTTCAATATTCTTACTACTAAATTAAAAAAGATCATAAAAAGTAAATGTTAAGTCATTTAAAAAAGTATTGTCGCTAATTTACAATGATCTGTGTGCTCAAAAACAATAACACTTTTTTTTAACAATTAAAGCACAATTTTAAAAAATTTAAGTCTATAATACGTTATTTTACTTTACCCTACTTTACCTTTCCCTCCCCTACTTTTTTTGTATCCGTCGTAACCTACCCTTCTCTATTATCAAAAAAGTCAGTTAGCAAACTCAAATATAAATAATCATGTTGTTGATATGACAACATAAAATGCACAATAATCGGATTTTTATATTGCTCAAAAGTAATTTTTCTGCTTTTGGCCAAATTAAAATTAATATATATAAAAAGCTATGTCTATACAATATCAAATAATTACAAGACAGATAAGAATAGGGTAGAGATGAAACAAATACTAGTCGAAATGTCGCTAAATATAAAACTTTTAATTAAAAGCAAATCTAAGTTGAAATCTAAAGTCCAAGCTTTTATATGCAATGTTTCTTTTTATCATTACGTTAAAAGGCTAGGATAACAACTGCGTTGAAGGCAAATGCCGAGTTAAAGTAAACCATAAGTGTGGCTAGGCTTAACCAAACTAATATAAGTTCTTAATCAAATAAAACTAGACTAAAAACTTATATTAAAAGTAGAGGCTTAAATATGTACATATGTCGTAAACATAGTGGTTTTAAGAGGTAGAGTAGAGCAAGTCTAAGGAAAGGCTAGAGCGAGTAAAGCCTGCACTAAAGCTAGAGGTGTTAAAAGCAACGATAGTTGTAAGAATGCTTACTGATATGACTAAACCAAGGCTCACGGGCTATTTTATGGCTAAAGCCAAGCTAAGCCTGTGACATGGTAAAGCTAGGGTATAACTAAGGTAAGGCTAATTCAGAGCCAGAGTAAGACTATGGCCCAGTCCAGAGCTAGAGTAAGACTAGTGCAAGGCTAAAGTAAGTGTAAGATAAGGCTTTAAAAGAGCTAAAGTAGAGCAATGCGAGGGCTAGTGAAGATCTAATGTAGTGCTAGAGTAGAGACATGCAAACCTACAATATGTTTCATAAACTATAAGACTAGAATACACTGCACATTTCTTATCTACTTTATCCTACAGTGTTATAACACAGTATATTTTGCAAAAACACGTTGTGTTTCACTACCAATTAGCCTTATTCACACTACTTTCTTTTCTCTTTGGTCTGCCCTTACCTTTTCATTACCTTTGATTCTAACCTCTTTTTTTAAACACCTCAATCACTCACTACACAATCCCTCACTACAACATATCACTGTCTTCAGCTACAAGAAGCTCCACACATGTTTATAAATTCCTCGAAAGCAGCTTATAAAAACGACAAACTGTCAACATTCAAAACAATATAAATTCTTGCAGCCGGCTGACCAAACAGCATGGCCGTAATTAGTTAGCGGAAGCCAGTTAAAACGTTTTCGAGAATCCGAAAATCCAAAAGAATCCGCAAAAGTTTTGGGCTTCATATTTCGGTGGCACGATAATTAACTACCATTTAGTGCGTAAATAGTAATGGCATTTACAATAATAGGGTTGATGAGGAGCTGTTGACGTTTGAGAGTGTCTGGATGATATATGATACGATTTTGTATAGATATTAATAAGTTGTCTATGAAATGGCAAAAACTTTGTTTGCAAAACAAAAATTAGCCAGAATGTTCATTACAAGCAAAAACTTTCTTTACAACAGGCAAAAACACAAAAACATGTTTTATCGTATAACAATGCGTCCGCAGGTTGCAAGAGACAAAAATACCATTTAAAACAACAAAATAGCAAGGACTTTCTTTATAAAACAAAAAATGGCAAGAACTTTCTTTTCAAAACAAGAAATGGCAAGAACTTTCTTTACAAGCCAAAAATAGCTTTTTATAACTCAATAATAAAACTTTTTAATACAAGACAAAAAATGGCAAGAACTTTCTTTACAAAACAAAAAATGCCAAAAACTTTCTTTACAGCCAAAGTTCGTGATCCTCAAAAACCCCTCAAAACCCAAAATAAAAAATCAACTGTTTGATATAAAGAACGTTCCATTCAATGTTACAGACGCCATTTTTCAAACGAAAACAAAGCAAATGTGTTGGTCTGAACTATGAAACACGGTTAATAGTCCCTCGATCATTGAAAAAACGCCTCACGAGATCGGAAATGGCCTTTTTGACATTTGGTCAACATTAATATTCCGAATAAATCCGAAAATTTATGGGGTTTGTCTAGAAAAAACAATGTAAAAATTAAAAGTTTCTAGGAATTAAAACTACGATATGAATAGATATATAATGCCTTAGAGGGTAAAATACGGCTAATTTAGTGGCTCAATAAAGCGGAACTCAGTGGTTCAACGTTAACATTAAAAAGAGTACAATAAAATTGTATTAAAAACCTTTTCAAACCTTAGTTTAAGCTTTAGCCTAATTCTAAGTCTGGGTTTTGTTTGAGCTTGAGCTTAAGCTTGAGCCTGAGCCTGAGCCTGAGCTTGAGCTTGAGCTTGAGCTTGAGCTTGAGCTTGAGCTTGAGCTTGAGCTTGAGCTTGAGCTTGAGCTTGAGCTTGAGCTTGAGCTTGAGCTTGAGCTTGGCATTAGCCTCGGCTTCGTTTTAATATTTACAATTTTTTTATTTAAAAAAACATGGTCATTGCAACCGTCGTATTTTACTTTAAAAAAGAGTCCTTTTCGTATGTAAACCTTTAAAAAACCGTATATGACAAGACGTGAGTGATCCTAGACAGTTCAAAACAAGACAGCCTCTTGGCTCTTGTTTATTCTTGTTATTTAGGTGTCGAATGTCACGTTATTAAAGGCTTTTTATATTAGCAAAATAAATCATTTTGACACTCGAAAGCGTAATTAGTTTTGCTGAGAAATAATAAAAAAAATTTTTTTAAATTTTTTTATAAGTAATTTTTTTTAGATTTCCGTTTTTTCTTTTCTTTAAATTCAAGCCAAAATCACTCTTTTCTAGACCTGAAAAAAAGCTATACCGGGCTTAAGCAAATTTGAAAAAAAGCCGAGCCGGATGGTACGGGCCCCAGGGCGAAATTAAGTAACGCGTCTTAGGAGCTTTATAGGTCCCGCAACGAAAGATTTAACTTGTAAAAAGTAGCCCCTCCTAACGATCCCCAAGCCTAAGAATATTTAAATCACCCCTCCCAACCATTAAAAGTCTCAGAATATATAAATCACCCCTCCCATTCTCCGCTCATCCTAAAGGTATAGAATGCATCAAAAGTTCTGTTACAATACTTTACCGGTTGTTTTCTCTATGTAAAACCACCTTTCATCCACCCCCAACATTAAAAATAACTAAAAACCTGACTTGCAAGCCAAAACTATAACAAAAAACATGTGTAGCGCCTTTCAGCCGAACACAAGCAGTGCCGACGAACAGAGAACAAGGAAGAACAAAGTTATGAATGATTTTTGATAACAAACCGAAAGTGGCGCTACTCGTGCACGACACGTAAACAAGCTCAAGAAGAGGCAAGATGCTATTCGAATAATTGCCACAGACAATAAGCCTAATTTGTTACAACTCACAAGTAAGAAAAACAATTAGGTATAGGGTAATAATCGTTAAAACGACTCCTTTTGTAAAGTGCATTTTAAAATTAAAAAATTAAAAAAGAAAGTTTTGTAAAGAAAGTTCTTGTCATTTTTGTTATGTAAAGAAAGTTCTTGCTATTTTTTGTTTTGTAAAGAAAGTTCTTGCTATTTTTTGTTTTGTAATGAAAGTTCTTGCAATTTTTTGTTCTGTAAAGAAAGTTCTTGTAATTTTTTGCTTTGTAAAGAAAGTTTCTGCCATTATATGCTATGTAAAGAAAGTTCTTGTCATTTCTTGCTTTGTAAAGAAAGTTTCGCCAGTTTTTGTTTTGTAAAGAAAGTTTTTGCATTTTTTGTTTTGTAAAGAAAGTTCTTGTCATTTTTTGTTATGTAAGAAAAGTTCTTGCTATTTTTTGTTTTGTAAAGAAAGTTCGTGCCATTTTTTGTCTTGTAAAAAAAGTTTTTGCAAAAATTTCTTTTTGAGTCAATTTCTAGTATCTCAAGGTGCTTTAGGTAAGTAAATTAGATTTATTGCATGCAGATTTATATTACATTGACATAAAACCAGAATATATCTTATAATTTGTGAATAGAAAGCTCTTCGGACTCGAAATTATGAAAGATTTGGCGCACGGTACGATTCGAATATATGGCTAGACGTTGGGTGAGGTCAAAACATTTGTTTATCTGAAGAAAGTCGAGATGTTGTGGCGAGTTGCGCCCCAGCAGCTCCTCCAAATGACAGAGGATAAAGGGCTCGACTCGCTTTAGTAGCTTGTTATTGTCGGTTTTCTGAAAAAAATTTGGGAATTTTTAAAGTTTTTGAAACTTCAGGGGTTGTTTTAATGCTAGACTATATCTGAAAGGCGTCACTAGGCCGGGATAAGCTAAAAGAAATTTAAAAAGATCAAGCCGGGCCTAACCTAAAGCCCCAGGGCCCATCGCTAGGTCCCACAACAAAAGAAATGGCTTGCGAAAAGTGTGAAACAAAGCAACTGGGCCGGACCCGCACATGCAAGCAAAGCCCAGCCTGTAAATTAAAGCAAAAAATCGAACTCGGCCTAGTCCGCTTAGAAGTCTAGACTACAATTGATATACGTATTTCACATAAATTTTTAAAAATTAAAGTTATGCTTTAAGATATGTCCTGTAACAACTTACAATAGCATGCTGATAGATGGACAAACAATTTGATACTTCAATATTGTCACTAATCTCTTTGGCTATCAGTTCGGCCAATTCAGACAAGCCAAAGCGTTCGGCTGACTGAATTGTCTTCAATTGGTCGTTAATAGGTTCGGCTGATATGTGCTTCAAACATTCGGCTCTTTTTCCGTATACGAATTCAATCAACGCCTGAAAAAACCGTTATTAAATTTTGAACAATCATTGTCTAAAGAATAAATAAATTAGAACTTTATGAAGAATATAAAAAACTTAAAAACGTATGAAAAGAGTTAAGCATCTTCGCAAAGCGTAAAGCTTAACAATAAGAGAAAATTACAGCACGTTTGTCGCAAAGCTAAGTAAAAAAAATGTTAAAAATTAAATTAAAGGAGAAACAAAGAATAGATTCAGAATAAGACTAGAACACTAGGATAGAATAGCCTGAAAATAGACAAAGTTAGAGCTTAGAAGAGAAGCTAGAGCAAGGCTGAGATTCAGCAAGGGTAGAGACTAAGTAAGGCCAGAATAGAGAAAAGTGTGTTGGCTAGGGAAGTGAAAGGTAAAACTATGTCTAAGTCTTGAGTTTAAGCTATAGCTAGAGCTACAGCTACAGCTACATCTACAGCTAAAATAGATTCTCTTACCTTGAAAGTATTGTAGCTGATATCATTAACTTTAACACTATCTACACTGTTCTGTAATATCGTCTCGAACTGTTGACTAGCGTTGACCAACGCTATTCGATGAGCATATATCTTTCTATTCTCGCAGATAAACTTGACGTCACTGAACTTTTCATTGTCACAGTATTTTGGATCGATCATAACCCCAAATGGCTTTGAATTCGAGGATTCTGATACAGAATTCTCAGCGTGATCGTCTTCTTTGTAGAAGTTTTTGAAAATTGAAGAAGTTAGTTGTAGTAGTGAGTTGAAAACCGCGTTTTCTGTGAATTGGTCGATAAAGTCTAGGTCGATAATGTCGAATAGCTAAAACGGGGAGGTTAGTGTTATAAGTGAAATTTTTCGAAGTTGTAAAGAAAGTTTTTGCAATTTTTTGTTTTGTAAAAAAAGTTCTTGCAATTTTTTGTTTTGTAAAGAAAGTTCTTGCCATTTTTTGATTTGTAAAAAAAGTTACTGCTATTTTCAATTCTGTAAAGAAAGTTCCTTCAATTTTCAAAATTACCTTTCGATTGAACATTTCCAGTGCCTGTAGTGGAGCTTGTCTTAGCTGTCTCAACACAAAACTGTCCAAGACTAGCTTGATTCCTTGATTTGATTTCTGTTGGACTGACCATTCCAAGCACTTAGTCCACAAATTAATGGTCCATTTCACTCCTAAGGCACTCAAATCAAAAGCAATGTCCAAGTTGCCACATTCCACTGCGTAGTAGAGGGCTTCCTATAAGTTGTACTGTTAGTACTGCCTTTCTAAATATTAGATATCGACATAAAGAACCCGAAACTTTTTACAAAAAAGTAAAGAAAAATATGGCGGGTTCTTTATGTCGGCATCTAATATATGGCACCGAAAACACGATAAAACTACCTTCAAAACCAGCTGAGTTAGTTTGCCAGTCTCAGCATAGTTGACAGTCTGAGTACATTCACTCACATTACCACTGCCATCTCCATGTTCATCAATACTAGCTGGTAGGTTATCTTTGCTGAACGATGGTTTTCTCAACTCAGTCAAGATTAAATTGAAAGCTTGAGAATTGCCTGAGGCAGCGGCGATAGCCAAAGCTGCTGGAGCCCCAGCTACATTCTGCTGATCCTTGTGTTCATAATCGACCAATGTGAACTGTGGATCAGCACGGTGTTTTAGTAGTAGGTGGATGATTTCTGGTGAGCCGGAGGCTGCTGCTAACTGAAGTTTGTTAATTTAGGGTGGTGTAGGGTAGGGTAGGGTAAAGTAGGGTAGGGTAGAGTAGGGTAGGGTAGAGTAGGGTAGGGTAGGGTAGGGTAGGGTAGGGTAGGGTAGGGTATAGTATAGTATAGTATAGTATAGTATAGTATAGTATAGTATAGTATAGTATAGTATAGTATAGTATAGTATAGTATAGTATAGTATAGTATAGTATAGTATAGTATAGTATAGTATAGTATAGTATAGTATAGTATAGTATAGTATAGTATAGTATAGTATAGTATAGTATAGTATAGTATAGTATAGTATAGTATAGTATAGTGCAAAAAAGCAAAAACAAGTCTTACCTGTAGCGGAGTCTCCCTTCGCATCCAACCAGCATTGACATGCACATTCTGAGCCAGTAGCTTCTTAACCATCTCAGTATCTTGCTTAACTACAGCCCAAAACAATGGTGTCCAACCAAGAAAATCGTCGAATAATTTGCAATTTTTGTGTGGACCTTTGAGGTTTGATGGTGATATTGGGGTGTCCAAATGAGCATTGGTTTTATGGACTATTAGGTTGGCAGCAGAGATATTGTTGTTTAGAATGGTACGGGATAAGCATGACAAACCCTAAAAAAAGTTTTTTTTTGATCTTAAGCTATTAGCAAAAACTTTCTTTACAAAACACAAAATGGCAAACACTTTCTTTATAAAGCAAAAAATATCAAGAACTTTCTTTAAAAAACACCAAATAGCAAAAACTTTTTTTACAACCCAAAAAAAAAGACAAAAAACTTACATGTGAATTAGTCCTACTCAGATCACATTGTCCAAATATTTTTCTTCTTTCAGCTTGATCAACCTCCCATAACCTAGACTGTTCTAACCATTGCCATTCCAGACAATCTGGACTGTCAATAAAGTCAGACGATGATCGTGGAGGAAGTTTGTCAATTAACTTTAAAATTCTGGCAGCTTCCATTACATCTGCACGATTTATTCTGGCCGAATTACGATGTTCAACAATATTGAGAATGGTTTCGACGAAGTGAGCAAAGATGGGCCTAAAATTTTTATTTTTTAATTTTTATGAACTGCCCTGCCCTGCCCTGCCCTGCCCTGCCCTGCCCTGCCCTGCCCTACCCTGCCATGCCATACCCTGTCCTGCCCTGCCCTGCCCTGCCCTATCTTATTCTATCATATCTTACCTTATTCTACCGTTACTTATCCTACTATTGTCTTAACCGTACTTCACTTTAGAATTACTCTATCCGACTCTGTCTTACCATGCTTAACTTTACCTCACCACGCTTGTTTTACCCATGCTTTACTATACCGTTGAATAACCCTTTCTCCCTTCCCCTCTCTCTTGCTCTACATTACTCTTTAACTTGTTTTACCTGTTCATTACCCTCCCTTTTAAAAATAGCGCATGTTTTTAATCAAACCCGACTCTTACTTTAAAATAAGATTGCTCTAGGCTTACATTACAAAAAAGATATTTTTAGACTTACTTTTTGCCAACACAGTTGCAATTCTGCCCTTCTTCGTTACATCTGATGTAAAAGAACAAACAATTCAAGCCGTCTTCATCAAACCTGACTCCGATTTTGTGATTCTCACGCCATCTCTTATGCCATTTTGATTGTTTTACATGATTATCAGCTGCATCTATATCCAACAGCTTTTGCAGTAATCTCATGGTGGGTATGCATATTCCTGTTGTTAAGTCATTGATAGTAAAAGCGTCGAATAATGATGAATGTTGTCTTAGAACATCAGAAAATTGCTTGTTACTACGAGTTTTTTCGACCGTTTGGATGTAGAGCAGTAGCAGACGTTCAAACACTGCTGTTAGGTATACTGCGGTCTGAAATATAACATTGCTTTTACTTTGTAAGTATATATGTACAACATAACGTAAGTTAGTTTGTTTGCTAAAAGCAAAGCAAGGCAAGGCAAGGCAAGAATGTGCTTTTGAAAAGCAACTCACCACATCGACAACAACATCAGTAAGGCCAGATAACTTCATCCATCGGTACATTTTTCCGACATTCATTTTCAGTGATGCTCTTGCTTCCAAACTCTTGGTAAAAGTGGCTGAATTTGAGAAGAAAGCGAGTGTTTGGACTGCATAATCCATGCAAATGTAGGCTGTTTTCTCTGGCAGTAGAGACTAAAATTATTTTTAAAAAATTAAAAATTTTGAAATTTTTTGAAATCAAAAAAATCAAAATTTTAGTTTTCAAGGTAAAATACGGTGCCTGTTCCAAAAATTGTTTAAATTATAAAAAAATTAAAAAAGAATGTTTTAAGCTGTTGAAGAAAAAATTTTGATTTTTTTTACTTAGAGCTAAATCACTCTCCCTTCCCTCTATAACCAAAATTTAAAATCCGTCCCACCATCAAGCTCAGATTGATATCCCGAACAGCGCACTTTACAAATGGCCCGATGTTTCTTTGAATTTCGACCGAAAAGACCTCCATTGAATGTCTGAATCTGGTCAACAACATCATGAACAGTTCATGACTGAACCCTTGACTTAACGCTGGTACCGTTTGTTCTATTAGGCTTTTCATATCACTAGTAGTGTAAGTGAAAGGTACTGTAAATCTGGTCGGTCGGAATAAAGCTATATCTGACTGGGTTGATGTGTATGATGCTGTAGATGACGGTTGAGAGTTTTGTACTGTAGATGATGTTTGATGGTTTAGTACTGTAGATGATGTTTGATGGTTTGGTACAGAATACAATGCTTGAGGACTGGGTACTGTAGAGACTTTGAGTTTGTTGGGTACAGCATCCGATGCATGTTGAGTAGCTACAGTAGGTGAAACATGTGCTACAGGTACTGATGACATAGCTGGGCTATGGCTAGCCAAAGCTTGATGATTTAGCCCATTTAATGACTTAAGATGGTAACCACTTTTAGGCTTATGGTCAAGCACAACTTCAGTCTTAGCCTTATCAGCTGAGTTTGTAGATGACAGAGCTGCCATTTTTTGTTGACCGTACTGGAGGTTGCTATGCCTAAGATCATTAAAGACCTGTTGGGTATAAGACGTCTTAGTGTCTCCATTTGGTCTTTTCAATTCGTCATTATGACTCATTTTTTGACCTTTACTTTGACCCACACTGCCATTTTTTATCTTCTCCATCTTCCTATCACTATCAACTAAATTCGAATTTTCCACAGTATCCACCTTCACTACAGTAATCCCCTTGTCTTCTTTATGACTCCCTCGATACTTTTCGACCTCAGTTGATGACAATGATCCGTCGTTGATGTAGATCAATGACACGTCAGGCTTATTATTGTTGTCCAGGTCGTTCTGTAACCGTTTGTGAGAACGATATCCAGAATCAGCGGCTGATCGTGATGAAGAAGCTGAACTTAACGATGATGTCATAGAAGTGGTGACTAATGGAGATCGAGGAGACAGAGAACCTGGCGGAGATGATGAAGGCACGGGTGGTTTTAGGTCGATTGAGTTGAAAGTTGAACTGGATTCTCGTTTTGGGGGTTTAAAACTGAAAATTTAAAATTTTTAAATTTAGGTACTGTAAGTTTTAAGTAGCAAGTAAAGTGTGCCTAAGGCTGACGGCTCGTTCTGGTAGCTAAGGCTAGTAGCTAAGATTGGTTGGTAGGACTAGTAACTATTTTAGGTGACTGCAGCTGGTGGCTAGATCTAGGTCCAAGCCAGGACAATCCAGGAATAAACCAAGACCAAACCAATGTCAAACAAAGCCAAACTTAAGCCAAGAACAAACCAAAGCCTAGCCAGGGCAAACCAAGTTTAAGCCAAGCCAAAGCCATGGCAAAACTAGAAGCAAGCCTGGTTTAAGCCTGGGCTAGGTTAAGCTAGAGCCACCCCAAAATCACGCCAAGGCCAAGGCAAAGCCCAGCCAGGGTCAAGCCAAGACTAAGCTAGAACCCAACTAAGACCAAGCCAGAATCAAGGTAAGCCAAACCTAGGACCAAGCCAAAGGCCGACCAAGGCCATAATCAAAGCCGAGCCCAAACCCACACCAAGCAAAAACCAAGTTAAAGACAGGTCAAGGCAAAGTAAAGTCAGAAACAAACCAGAGACAAAGCCAGAAATAAGCCAGAAACAAGCCAGAGAATAGTTCGGGCCAAGCCAAAGTCAAGCCAAGTCCAACCCAAAACCAGGTTAAGACCAAGGCCAAGCCAGAGCTGACCAAGCCAAAACAAAACCAAAGCCAGTCGAAGACAAGGCTAAGTCTAAGGCTGTTTAATCGTAATAGGTAACTTACATATTATTTTCTATGTCATCATCGTCTTGTGAGCTGTGGGGAGCATTCTTGTACAACTGCCTCAAATCGTCAAGGGTTTTTAATTCGGCTGGGGGTGCACTTTTTTGTCGAGCTTTTCTCTTGGACTAAAATTACAAAAAATAAAGAAAAACGTTTACACGTAAAACACGAGAAAATACTTAAGATTTTAGGTAAATATTGCTGTTCTGCTGGGTTTTGTCATCGTCATATAAAAAAATTTTAAAACTTTTAAAACTTGCAAAGTCTTTCTTTACATACCTAGTTTTACCAAAATTTTTAGCTGGTTCTTACCCATCGTATAACTTGTCACCCGCGGGCGGCGGAAGCTAATTTTTTCAAATTTATAAACGAAAAGCAAAAACTTTCTTTACAAAACAAAAAACGGCAAAAACTTTTTTTTATAAACTCAAAAATGGCAAAAACTTCTTTACAAACCCAACTTACTTCATTACTACTGTAATTTCCATCCAAATCCACACCATCATCCACATTGTCCAAATGCTGACACTTACTGTTACATTTATGACCATGTTTGCCATGAATGTCTGAGCCTGTCATTCGTTCATGATTTGCAAAGTATACCACATCATCAGCATCAACGACCATTGATTTCTGTCGATTTCCATGCTGATTGCTATTCAAATGCGGCCGAAGAGACTTTAAGGCTGAAGCTAAACGATCGGGTAGACTTGGCTCTGCTGAGTTGGTAGAGGAGGAGGCTCTGGGCTTGTGATTTCTAAAAAAGTTTTTATAAAACAAAAAAATTGTAGATGGTGTCCCCCCTACGCTATTTTTCTCTACCCTACCCTACCCTACCCTATATTCTATCATTTTTTACTCTTGCTCTACTCTGCTGTACATCCTTATCTAACTTATAATCTTGCTTTAGTTTTACTCCGCCCTATGTCAGTACTACTGCCGTTCTGCTTTAGCCTTCCCCACATTATATCCTAGATGCATCTTATTGTTGGCCTAACACTGTATCCTTAAAAACAATTTTTAAACTACGTGTGGAAGTTCGTATTTTATAAATTTGGGTAAAAAATAAAAAAATCCAACCTTGAACGATAGACATAATATTACCCTTACCGATAAGCCATACTGCCAAGAAGAGTGGGATGTGCGCTTCGGGAACGACGATGCTGAGTCGGTCCGTCGGCGCGTGAACGTGAAAATCGCTGGAATTCGCGAGAAACCGAGCCGCCAACTAGGATTGGGTCCAAAATTCTCTTGGCTGACCTGAAATCACAAATTATATAAACTTTATTAACAGTTTTTTTCAGTTCGTATTTTACAAAAATAAACTAAAATGCCAAGAAAAAGTCTTGTCGTCATTTTACATTGCTTATCATAGGCAAAAACGACAAAACTTTTTTTAAATAGTAAAACAACACATGAAGGCCTTGACGTATTTTACAAAAACACATGTTATAAAAGATATTTAAAGCTACTGTAAGACTATAAAAAATCACCCAAAATTTTAAAATTTTTTAATTTTTTAAAAAATTTAAAATTTTTAAAAAACTACATTTCATCCGACAGCCCAAAACTATTATTGAAACAATGCTAAAATACGATTCCCACACTTCCGTCTACTCGGTAATGTCTCATTCTACTGAGTAATTTCATCATGTTTCAACGTAACATTCAAATTAACTCAGATTAGCCCAAAGAAAATCCAGTCCAGTTAATGAAAGAGCCGCACAAACACAAAATCCTGTTTTGTGCTCGATTACGTGTACTTTTGTCGGGTTAACAGTATTGAACTTTGGAGTTAAAAAATGTATTTTAGGCATTATTTTAAAAAAGAATTTTTAAAATTTTATAAAATTTTAAAAAAACACGAACACCGTATTTTACAATAACTTATTACAAAATTTTATAACTTCAAAAAACATAATACTTTATCACTTTATGATAGTGTAAAGAAAGTTTTTGCCATCTTTTGGGTTGTAAAGAAAGTTCTTGCTATTTTTTATATTGCAAAGAAGGTTCTTGCCATCTTTTGGGTTGTAAAGTTTTTAAAAGAAAATTCTTGCAATTATTTTTCGTTTTAATCAAAATTTAATGCTTTTTACAAAAAGTTGTTAGCATTTTCATAAAAATTTTGAGTACACCCTCTCCCCCCTCTTAACATACAAAACAAAAATTGGCACCACCCGCGAACCAAGTAACCCTCCTCTCCCTCACACTCTCTTCTCCCCCGCTCCTGTCCGTGGCCTAGCCAAAACACCGACCAGTTCCCCCCCCATCAGTTTATATTCCTTGTTTGTGCCCTAGCATTCCTGCCAACGGCGAATCAAAATACAGTGGAACTCGTGTATAACAAATCGCTCCGGGACTGTAAATTTGTTCGTTATAAAAGAGTTTCGTTACACAGGAGTTTTAAATGCACTGTGCAGTGGTGGACGGAGATTCAAAAGTTGTTCGTTATACGGGGTTTTCGTTACAGAGGAGTTCGTTATACAGAAGTTCCACTGTACTCCTTATCACTCTTTCCTCCCTTTCCCCTAACTACAGCCGAACTAAGATCACCCCTTCCTTCTACCAACTATTCAAATATCCAAAAAAATTACAAAAAACACAACTTGAGTGTACTAAAACAAAGGACTACAATATCCAGTCGAAAAACCAATAAGACATGACATTCCTGGATGGGGGGGGAGGATATGAAGTGGATAAAAGGAATTGCGCAATCCGAACGGATCGTTCAAAACTTTTTATAAAACGTGTCAACAGTGAAATAAAAACGAAATAAAAGGCGTGCACAAGATTTACGAACATCAAATTTGGTGTTCCATCTAGAGATTTGTAGTTTATTACTGTGGTAGATGCCGCTAGATTTATTGCTAATGAGTTGGGGAATCAATTCTCATTGACTTTTAGGTAATAGGTTTTTGAAGTTGAAGGGGTAGAAAACAAAAAAAAGCAAAAACTTTCTTTACAAGACAAAAAATGGCAAGAACTTTCCTTACAAGGTTAAAAATTGCAAGAACTTTCTTTACAAAACAAAAGTAGACAAAAACTTTTTTTACAAAATAACAAATGGCAAGAACTTTCTTTACAACACAAAAAATGGCAAAAACTTTTTTTACAATACCCTACGTAACAGTGCTAAGTTTCTCATCGTATAACATGTCTCCCGCAGTCTGCAAACTCATTTTCAGCTTGTAAAAAAATTCTTGCTAGGATCCATTAGAAATGAAAACAAGCCGTACTTGAATTTTAAGCCCGGCCCAATCTAAGTTTTGCTAATGCCTAGCCCTGTCCAAATTTTTTTATATGCAAACGGCCCCGAGTATTAAGGGCTTTTCGAGCCGGCCCGACCTAAATTTTGCATTTCTAGAATCCATTTTATTCATTACCTAATTCCACTTTTTTTAAAAGTACACAACAAAAAATACCTTACTCTGAAGCCAATTTATCTACCCCTTGCAGCCCCGCAACAATAGGTGTTTCAAATTGGACTTAATTTTAGCTTCCTCCCCTTCCTCCTCACCTTACCCTACCCTGATCTACTTTCCTCCTTTCCTTCTCACCCTACTCTATCCTGCCCTACTCTACCCTGTCCTGCCCTGGCCCGCTCTGATCTGCACTGCCCTTCTTAACTTACTCTACCATGCTCTATCCACCCCTCCCATCCTAAACATTTTGTTTTTGGATTTGAAAATGGACTAAATGGCGGCCTTCAATTAATCGCCTGTCGCTTCGGCTGGCGTCAGTTCCGATATTTTAGGTATTTTATTGAAGACGCGCGAAAAATCAAGGATAAGTGAGGATTTAAAAATTTTGAGTTTAGCGATTAGCGAGCAGATTTGGTCGCTAATCCACTGAATTGTGTTGGGGGTAAAAGGGCGAGGTAAAAGTGGTATAACTTCAAAAAAAATTATGATATTTTACCACTATAGTTGTGTAAAGAAAGTTATTGTCGTTTTTTTTGTTTTGTAAAGAAAGTTATTGCCGTTTTTTTGTTTTGTAAAAAAAGTTACTGCTACTTTTGGTTTTGTAAAGAAAGTTTTTGCCAAAATTTTTTAAAGACACCATTTTTCGCCATATTTTACATTTTTCTCCCCCCCCCCGCACTCTTATTAATCTTCTATTTGCTACCCCACCCTTCCCTGCTCCCCTCTCCCCATTATTACACCAACTACCGTGCTCTACTCTCTCCTACCCCTTCTATTCTCCCTTTCGGCTTGCTCTTTCCAACAATACCTCAACTTCATATATTATAAACCAAAGTAAAAAGCAACATATTTTCGAACATCTATCTTAATATATCCCCAAAATTTCGAAAATCGCAAAAATTACTCGCTTCTCAGACTAACGGAGTAAGAGCGCGTTAATGTGAGAAACTTTTACTTGCACTCAACTTCAAGGTCATTGATTAAAAAATTACTAATTTTTTACTCAATGCCGAAACTGACGATGTTTGACGCGCGCCGAAGATTAAAAAAGGAAGAAAACGGCAAAGAGTTTTTTTACAAAGCAAAAAATGACAAAAACTTTCTGTACTAAGGCTGAAATAGCAAGAACTTTCTTTACAGAAAGAAAATTAGCAAGAACTTTCTTTACAAATCAACAAATTCAAAAACTTTCAAAAAAAACGAAAGAAGATCTACACTTTGGCTCTACGTATTTTACAATTTAAATTTAAAAAAAAGTTCAATTATTTTTTTTTAATTTTAAAAACAGTTTTTTATCGATCTCCTACACCAATGCCATACCCCATTACACTCTTCTACCTGCCCCTACCCTTCTACCCTCTACCCTCTCCCCCCAAGTCCCCTCCACCTCCTTTTTTTTGGAGGTTGAGGGGGGGGCCTCGTGGCAGGAAAGTTTGCGATAGTATAAGGAAGTCTATAACACTATTGAGATGTGTAAAATTTGGAAACTTGAGGTTGAAGAGGTTTAAAGAACCTCCGGTTACGGAATCCGTTGAACAAACATTATTATAAGAAACGGATGGGAGAGAAACTTGTTTTATGAAAAGAGAAACATGAGGTCAATTTCGGGTTCAACAGCTGAGGGTGGGTAGGTATAGTAAGAGTAAAGTAATATAGTTAAAGGTGCAAAAAATGGCAAGAACTTTCTTTACAAAACAAAAAATAGCAAGAACTTTCTTTACAAATTTTGAAATAGCAAGAACTTTCTTTACAAACTAAAAAATGGCAAAAACTTTCTTTACAAAACGTAAAATTGCAAGAACTTTCTTTACAAGACAAAAAATGGCATTAACTTTCTTTACAACGCAAAAAATGGCAAAAACTTTCTTTACAAAACAAAAAACTACAAGAACTTTCTTTTACTACATACAATATCAAAAACTTTCATTACAAACTAAAAAATTGCCAAAACTTTCTTTATACCCCATTTTTACAAATATCATTCCAGTCCAACCTTAAAAACCCGCATGTTTCTATAAAAACCTCAAATTTCAGCTACCAAAACTAAGAAAAGGCAGCTCTGCCGTTACCATTAAGTGGACAATACAAAGAACAAAAAAATAAATTAAACAAATATTTTTCTTCGGAATCCGTTTTCTTTAATTCTTTTTTGTAATCAAAACTCTACATTTTTTTTCTGAATGATTAATTTTCGTCGTGGAAATCAAGCTGTAGCTTTGATTAAACTTTCAGTAAGATTTTGAAGGATAAACAATATTTTAGAACTTGTTTGGTTGTAGTAATTCTTTTACATTATGTGCGAAATGCCTGCGCGCATTTTACATAAAATCACTGTAATTTTCTTTAGAAAATAAGAAAGGACAAAAACTTTCTTTACAAAATAAAAATTGCAAGAACTTTCTTTATAGAACAAAAAATGGCAAAAACTTTGTTTACAAAACAAAGAATAGCAAGAACTTTCTTTACAAAACAAAAAATGGCAAAAACGTTGTTTACAAAACAAAAAAATTCAAGGATTTCACTTACAAAGTTCAAAAAAAACGAAAAACGTCGTCCGTCGTATAACTTTGCCACCCACAGGCTGCAAAGCGCAAACTGCTGCTTATACTGAATAGAAATGACAAAAATTTTCTTTACAAAAAATAGCAGGGCCTTGCTTTACAGAGCAAAAAACTTTATTTGTTGTATAACATGTCACCCACAAGTTCAAAAATAGCAATACGTTTTTTTACAAAACAGCAAAAAGCCAGAACTTTCTTTACAAAACAAAAAACGGCAAGAACGGCCTAAAGTTCTTGCAAAGATCTATTACACATGAGGAACGGGCCGGGCTTTTGTGGGATTTTCAGGGCCGATGCGACCTAAACTTTGATCACTCTCGATCCGTTCATCATGTCTAGGCTCCATTTTAGTCATCACCTAATTCCAATTTTAAAAGTGCACAAAAAAACCGACAGTAAAGAGAGAAGACAAGAATTTCCTTTAAAAAATTAAAAAATGGCAAAAACTTTCTTTACAAAACAAAATACTTCGATAAAGAAAAAAATTATTTTTAGAATAAAAAACCCCATAAATATAACCTCTTTAAACGACGTGTACATTGCTTTTTTTGGTTAACGACAATCTTAAACGACATGATAGAACAATGGGAATGAGCTCGGACTTGTTGAAGCGGATGCTCGAGGATGACTATTGAACCATTTAAAGTGAGGAAGACGGAAAGACAGAATTCGTCACATTATGAATCTGTACGATCGTTTCGAATAAAAAAAACAACAATATTATTATATTCTAGGCCTTTTGTTATAATATATGATTTTGTGTCTTTAGTACTTAAAGCGTATTTAACATTTAAAAGTAATTGCAATTTTTGTAATTTTAAAATTCTACCATAGAAAGCAAGGGAGAGGGGTGAGATGTCAGATAAGTAGAGTAAAGTAAAGTAGTGTAAGACAAAGTACGGCAGGGTAAAGCAGGAAAGAGTAGGGTAAGGTAAAGTAAAGCTTTGTTGAGTACGGTAGAGTAGGATAAGGTAGGGTAGGGTAGGGTAGAGTAGGGTAGAGTAGGGTAGGGTAGGGTAGGGTAGGGTAGGGTAGGGTAGGGTAGGGTAGGGTAGGGTAGGGTAGGGTAGGGTAGGGTGGGTAGGGTAGGGTAGGGGTAGGGTAGGGTAGGGTAGGGTAGGGTAGGGTAGAGTAGGGTAGAGTAGGGTAGGGTAGGGTAGGGTAGGGTAGGGTAGGGTAGGGTAGGGTAGGGTAGGGTAGGGTAGGGTAGGGTAGGGTAGGGTAGGGTAGGGTAGGGTAGGGTAGGGTAGGGTAGGGTAGGGTAGGGGTAGGGTAGGGTAGGGTAGGGTAGGGTAGGGTAGGGTAGGGTAGCTTAGGGTAGGGTAGGGTAGGGTGAGTAGGGTAGGGTAAAATAAAGAAATTTTTTTGTGTTGATGCAATAAAATAAAATTTTTTAAAAAAATTTTCAACTTGCCCTACCTTTGCCCTCCCCCCCCTTTCCATTCCCTTCCCCCCCCGCCTTATCAACCCAATTTTTTGCCAAGAAACCACATCCTTCACCCTCATAAACATAATATAATAGTAATAGTATCCAACCCTAACCCCCAGCCCCTACCAATCCCTCCTTTCCCCGCAAAACGTGTGGATACAAAATTAATTCGTATTCCGGCTAAATGATCGCAATACGAAGATGTCATGGTCACTGAACGGAAATAAAAACTAGTGGAAAATGATATTTGAATACCCGATCGTAAACACCCGTTTAATAGCCAACGGCGATACGAAAATAGACCGTCATAATAAATTGGAAAGGAAATCTGAATTGAAAGGAATTTTTATTAGCCTTAGCCAAAAAACTAGCCCAGAGCCCTAGTCCAAAGCCCTAGTCCAGAACCCTAGTTTAAAGCCCTAGCCCAGAGCCCTAGTTTAGAGCTCTAGTCCACAGCCCTAGCCCAGAGTAGCTTCTCCACTCCCTACTCTACCATACCCCTTCAGTACTAACGTTCTAAAAAAAATTATTAAAAAACAACCCTGCCCATGCTTTGTTTTTTAAATCAATCATTTTCAAGGGCCTTTCCCCTTCTCTCCCTATTCTTCCCATTCCTCCTCTTCTCCATACCATACGACGTCTTGTAACGTACCCCAATGTTTATATAATTTTTTGTTTATGCGCGGATATACAACGAACATTCTCAACTTTAAACAAAAAAAACGAATATTCGGAGAAACTGATATCACTCTTGACTCTTGAGATCA